CACTACAAAACTGTTGTTGTGGTGCCTGTAACACAGTCACTTCATAGCTTTGCAATTATGTGTCTGTGCCAATCAGGGCATATCCACCTGCCTGCGAGGTAAATATTCCCTATGCACAAGTCTGTATTCCCATTCCTGACTAGAGCTTGATATGGAGTGCTTTAAGTGTTCAATGGTTTCTGTTATTATGAAGAAGTGCCTGCTATTTAATAATTTTATCTGTTGTTATCCAGAATCATATATGTATATATATTTATCAAATTACAGAAATTCAATAGCTGAATATTTTTGTCCTATTTTGAATACTTTGTTCCAAATCATATATTTCTGATTGCTGTTTTTGTACCTGGAATATTGATTTGTTTGTGTAAACAGGAAATAAGATAACAAGACACAAGTTTTTTTTTGGCATTATCTTGCAATAGTGTTCACCTACTTTTTCCTACCCTGTTAAATTTTACAACACATTGGGATAGTGTTTTCTTTTACTGCTCTGTGTTAAAAATTCTATTCTTTATTGTACTGTCAAGTGTATTACTAACAGTGATAAAACAACTCTGGTAGGTATCCCATGTACTAGCTCATCAAAATGAAAAATCACTATCTCAAACATATTAAGATGGTCTCGGAATAGTGACCCAATGATATTTTTCTACCTATTTGTGACTGGATAGGACTGGAAGACATTATATGACTGGATGGAATCACCTTTTTATCCAGCTTATACATGTAATTTTGACATATTTTTAAACGGTGGAGTGTTTGCTTATTTGTGAAATTTTTACTCCTGCCAGACAATTTTTTTTTACAGTTTTAACCATTTGCTAATATAGAATACCAGAGTTTATTTAAACATGACTGTCTTGCTACTTTTCCCCGAGTCACCAGAATTGCAATAGGAAGCTATGTAGTAAAAAAATTAGTTTCTAGGAATGTAAAGATAAGGACACATGTATATTTCATTTGGTGTTTGACTTTTTTATGTATACATATACAGTAATCATTCTGTTTCTACCCATTGTTATATACTGAAACTGAACCTTCTAGGGACCCGATACAATCTAAACCTTCCTCTATGATTTCTATACTTAATTGTATCATTTGAAAATCTTTTGTTTATAAAAAGATATATGTTTTTCCTGGTTTCAGTTTAGACTGGTTATATACAGTGTTAACATATTCTCCTAATTCAGTCTAATAAAAAAAGAAGACATCTTCAACGTGTCTATTCTACATCTTATCTGAAGTTCCATCCTTTCATCAATGATTTTCAAGTGCTATTTTTCTTACTTTTGGAAGCTTCACAAATTACAAGTGAAAGTGGTATACAATCTGTATATTTTTTTCTTTTTTAGTGTTTTTTCTTTTAATTTTAATATTTAATAAACAGATTTTCCGCAAAAAACATTGTAAAAAGAAATGAAGATTTACTACAAAATAGAGGAATTACACCCAGACATAGTATTAAATGTATGTATTTGTGTAGCATCTGTCAGTAGTCTGGTTCCATTGATGATCGTGTTAGAAGAGTTAAGTATATCCTGCGATATTTACCAAACTGGTCACCATTTGTAATCCTAGGATCCAAAAATCATCAGAAATATAATTAATGAAACAAAGTTTAGAGTAACACACAGCAGATAATCATTCTAAGGAACCAAATCATATCAAAACATGTTTGGATTTCTTCTAACCACTTAAACTATTTGTGGCAATATTTCATAGTTATCAATGAAGGATATAAAAAAAACATCTTCCTGGATATCATTATAAGATATATTTACTGCTTTGCACATACCACTCTTTATGTACATGTATATGGAAATGATGTTGAAATTACATATTTGTAGATGGATTATATATATATATATGTTCAAAGAATGTTTTGAAAATATGTCTGGTTTCTAGATATGGTTGTGTACATGTTATGATAATGTACATTAAAACATGTGGTCAATACTTACTCCAAATATATTGACTTACAGTCTGCATCTCTGTCTTGTTTTTCTTCTTTTTGTTGCATGTGGAAGGCTGGAGAATACAAAATCAACAGACAATCTCTTTGATGATCTGGATATAGACCTAAAATATATTCTAGAAAATTACTGTACAATGTAAGTGAAAAGAAATGAGATCAAGCAAAAACAAGCGCCTGTGTCTAAGGATCCTTATGTTCTTAAAAATAATAACTGTACAAAGTGTATTGGATCAAAATAAATACTATTTCATTTTGTACAGATTAATATGGTCAGTTTCTCCGATTATGCCAAGACTTGGTATCGGATGTAAAGTTTTATATCGCAAAGATGGGTAAAAATAACAAAGTATTGAAATACCGCAGATTATCTCAAACTACATATCAGCATCAAAAAATGGGTCGAAGATAAGTCTAATGTTGTTGACATCCAACTCAGCAATATTCTTGTACGCAAGATATATCTCGGACTTCCCAGCGGTAAGGAAATACAGACACGCCACAACAGAAGTTCTATAATATACGAGACTTCATTCCAAAGAATGACAGAAAAATATGTATTATTTGTTTCATTTCCACTTCGTCATCCCTGTGAGCCACATTCCTATGATATAATGGTTACATACATCACAAGGACAGTGTGTATGATAATGGAGACAAATTACCGAAACAATGGGAGTTGACAGGTTCACACAACTACAGCACTGTAAGTTCGCATACATAATGGTCCAATTTATTGTGATAATCGGCGTACTTGATAACCTTCATATCTATGTTACAGCAGAGTTTACTGGTAAACAACCCCTCCCTTTTACAATCTAACATCGGCACTCTCAAAATACGACTGAAACGCGTTCATTTAAGCGCGGAATAATAATACCCTACGTCCGTGGTTTAAGTAACCTTCGATTTGGTTGTCCAAGGTCTGCTTGATGCTAGAACAATCTATCTTTTTTAGTTCCACAAGGAAAAGTTTCCCATGCAAGTGATAAATTACAATTAGTCAAAATGTTTTGTGTTAAATGTGTATTTAAGCAGCACGTCGACTTTAATGTGATAATTACAACTTTGAAATTAAGTATGCGTCAACTTTTCATATTGGAAATGGAAGATTTTGCTAGATACAGGACAGGGGTCAATGTTACGTTATTCTATTTAATCAGAGCCCTAGATATGTAGGTCTCTGATTCTACGCACCAAATATATCTTCAGACACTATTGAATGCACGTTTCAGATTGACGTTGAATGTTGAAGATAAGGAGGTACATTTTCGGTTAATTTTGTATATTTAAAACGGTTGCATTGAATACATTATGCATACAATGCATTAAACAAACTATTTCTCCTATTGAATATGGTTGCTTAACACCAGCAGGGGCGTTTATGATGCAATGGGTTTATCATGCATTCCTGTGTAATCATTTTGGTCTCCCAGAGTTATTGCCCTTCGTTTCACTATGTCAGAACCGATGGGTGCGAGAATGATACTGTAGTAATTATTGTGGGTTTTACAGACCGGCCTGACCTGATTCACATTATTTCGGTCATTGAGTAGAATTTACCACTGGCAGATCCCCCTCCTAAAATTGGCCAAGTGACCATTTTTTCGTGAATGATAAACTGAAAATTCATCATCACACATGCGTATATGTCTACAACACTTCAATTACATACGAACTGGGGACATTATATGTTAGTACATGTATGTATCAATGTTTAAAACTCGTGGCTTGACCCTAATAATCTATTACTTTGTAATTTTATCGACACATTTCTTTACTCAAGTTACTATCAAAAGATGCTGTATAGTTTTCATTCCGTTTTAAGTACGTTAGGCCGGACCTGTATGATTGATTGGTTATTCTTATGCAGCACGGTCCCGTTATTTATTAATCGTGTTATTTTTCAATTCAGAATTTGAAATAGCGACCGCAAGTTACTTTTCCAATCAGTCTCAAAACTAGGCATGAATGAGAAAGCTTCAACGAACACTTAGCCTATGAAATTTTGTTTGATAATTTGTCGAAATCCAAGACACATATTTATTCCTCTGTAGACATGTTTTCCTATTGTACCGAAGACTGTAAAACCAAACAAAAACCAAGAAATTTTTCAGTTGAAAAAAATGCGCCTCTGATAAGATTAGTTCATGGGCTAGGTAACTAAAAATTCTTTATTATAGTGCTACAAAGAGATACACTCTGAATTATATATCGTTAGATTAGATCAAAACTTCATGGCTCAGTGAACAAACACAAAAATTGACGCTGCAGAATTCACCACTGGGCGTGGTAGTTTTTTTTTTTAATCAAACATCAACAAAGACTGCCTTGGAAGATATTTAAATGTGAGAAGTTATGTTAATTGATAGGATATCTTTTGTAAACGTAATATAAAAATCCTAACAGGTTAACAAAATCTTCAGGTTTTGAAGGTTTGTTAACTTTCCTGGGTGCTCACATTTCATCGCATCAGAGACTGCAACTCTATGCAGTATATGGGTTCAGAATAAAGGGAATTTTACTTAATATTCATTCTTTTTATAAATATATTCAAATTTAGTTGTTAGCCCCTGTGATCGCATTGGAACTATTAAAGATCGAAGTGAATATAGAATATGTCCACTTTTAACGAACCATCCGTTATGATAGCTATGCTGACACGATGTGTTAAAAACGAAGGGTAACGACCGTAATCTGAATCCCAGATTGAAAAAGTAAAATATTGATTACGTCCCTTTACAGAGCTCTTTGATAACTAAGCTAGATATGACATTTTGGCGGGAGATAGCGATGAATGTAAACTTCAGTCGAAGTCTGATGAATTCCAGCGATTGCATTTCATTTAATTGACTATTGGTATAGTCTCCTGTCGCTTGTATGTGTGCTATTTATGACACATTGTCAGGGCTGTCTGAATGCACCTATCTCAGAATCGAAGCGACATTACTAAAACACTGTCTGCGTGATTTAAGCACGATTTGTATCATTCGCGAAACATAAATCATTATATATACTAGTTATCATGGTCAGAGGAAGAAGAAATACAAATACACAAAATGATGTTGACAAACAAGATTGTCCATCAAAAACGAAGACTGAAGGAACGAAAGCAAGCATACTAAAGAACAAAGCCGACTGTGGTGAAGACAGTGGAACCCGGAGGAAAAAGAGAAAGTCCGATGTAGATGTTGTTGAAAATAAAGGGGAAGGAAAGGAAGTGGGTTTAAAGAAAAGCAAAGTTTCAACCAGGATCAAGTCAAGTGTTGGTGACAAGTTGAAAAACGGTAATATCCGTGGAAAAGTAAAACAAGAAGTCGAGAGAACTGTTAAAAAAGAACCAGCAGGTGAAAGTGACGTTGCCAAGAAACCAGTGGGACAGAAGACGAGAAAAGTGTCAAAACAAGCAGCGAAATCTGCGGTAAAGATTAAAAGTCAACCAAAGTGTGCCAGTCTGCCTGCCATTTCTAAATTTAACCTGTCATCTCATAAGTGTGCGAAACGTGTAGGAGCTCATGTTTCCATTGCAGGTGAATTAAGTCCCTTCACTCGATACTATTGGCTTTTCTAATCCAGAATGTCTTTTGGTGGTGGTATATCATGCAAATAGTATAGGTCAACTACACATACACATACTGTCTCAAATCACTACAGTTATGGATCACTGCATCTACAGCAAGTTTGAAACCTCTTTAGTGTAATAATCTCCTAATTACAGGTAGTTTGTTTTGAAGTTTTAAGACCACAGGGGATCAGGAATTATCACATTTGGCATGTTTGGACTTTCCTGATATGTAAATGAGTATTGATTTTATGGTTCAGGGATTTAGATAAATTTATACATTTTCAAAAACATTTGATACTGAAATAATTGGATATGACAACATATTGAAATGTCTTTTGTGTCCTTCACTCTTACAGGTGGCCTCTATAATGCTGTAGATGCTGCTGTTTTTCATGGAGCAAAAGCATTTGGATTGTTTCTGAAATCACAACGACAGTGGAATTCAAAGCCATTGCTTGATAAAGATGCAGAAAAATTTAGAAATGCGTATCAGGTAAACTTTTATGGAAGTTAATGTGGTGAAAATAATTTAAATGGTCATGCCACTGAACAAAAACCATGTATGTGAAAGACATTGAGGATATATAAAGATCTCCTGTCTTATTTCACTGTTTGTTTATATGCAGTATTGAAACACATTTACCAATTTTTAGCCTAGGAGCTTGGATTCTGTGCCAAATATTGCAAAAGTAAGAGTCATATTGGGTATAAGGGAGCTTTGATACAAGTCACTGTGACATTGTATTTTCGATCAGGAAGCAGGATTCTCCCCAGGTGACATCCTCCCTCATGGCTCTTACCTGATGAATTGTGGTTCGTCTAACCCAGAAACCCTCCAGAAAAGTAGGGATACCCTTGTTGATGAACTTCAGAGATGTGAAAAGCTTGGTCTGACGCTGTACAACTTCCATCCTGGTACATGTCTGCATGCTTTTAATATTGTATTAGCTAACTTTGTGCGATGACTTAAATTTTACATGATATAAATAATGAATTGGTACGATAAATTATCTTGTAGATAACAAAAATGACACAGATTACAGGCTGATATTTTTGTACAGGATCAAGCTGTGGCAATATCACCACTGACCAATCACTAGCCCTGATTGCTGAAAGTATCAACATGGCTCACACAAAGACCAAATTTGTCATAACAGGTATTTAGTGTATTGTATACATTGTAGCACTTGTATTAGGAATATATATTCCCACCACAGCTGTAAAAATAAGACAAGTTGCACTAAATCATGTGGGGAAAAAATGTCTTGGCATGTAGATGAACAAAAACTTGACAAGTTGTTTCTCAAATGAAACTTCCTGAAAATATGTTCTTGAAGAGAAGTTATTTGTCTGAATGTTGTTGAAATTTTACTGTTCTGTAAGCTTACTCTTCATGAAAGGAGAAAAACTGACTAAAAAGAAAACATTGAAAGAATTGTTCTGTTGATGGTTTTTCAGGAGTTTTGGAATGTCTAATTGTATGTATACATACTGTACTGATGGGAAGAATTTTTGTTCTACTATTTCAGTCATAGAAAATATGAGCTGTCAAGGTAGCACAGTTGGAGGAAAATTCCAGGAATTGAGAGAAATCATTGACAAGGTGAAGAATAAGGCTAGAATTGGAGTGTGTCTTGACACTTGCCATGCTTTTGCTGCAGGTAAGATCATAATGTAAAAGGAACATGGGATATGCTGAACATTCTAGAGTGATTTTATCTCGGGAAAATGTCCATAGACAGCACAATCACTCGTTACCCATTAGAATTTATAATTAATAAAAAGTAAGCCTTTGTCACAATACCTAGTGATTAACTGAGAGCAACAGCATGCTTTAAAATACTTGTAGTCAAATGATTCTTTATAAACCCACTGTCTTCAGATGGTGGGCCGCTCCGGCGTCTGGTGTCTGTTGAACGTCTGTTTGTTCTTATACAATTCGTGTTATCACTATTTCTCAAGAAAATACTGGATATATCATTTTCAAATTTTGCATGTAGATTTACCTTGGTCCATGGTAGTTGTGCATGGTGTCATTTTGAACAGATCTGAAAAATAAAAACGAAGACGGACGTCAATCTTGGATTATGACAGGGTTGTTTGTTATCACAATTTCTTGAGAAGTTTTGGATGGATCATTCTCATATTTCATATGTAGGTTCCTCTTGATCTGTAGTTTTTTGAGGCTGATTGGAAAAACAAGATGGCTGAGAAGTAATGAATGAATCTTTTGAAAATTTCATATGGAGGTTCCTTTTGTTTCCTTGTTGTGCCTTTTTAATTTTTGGACTGATCAGAAGAACAAAATGGCTAGCAGGTGGCCATTCTTGGATTTTGACTATGAAGGCTTGTTATCAGTTTTTCTACAAAAGAACTGGATGGGTCTTTCTCAGATTTTAACAGGTGTTCTCCTTGGTCCCAAATCTTTTCATTTTGATTGTTGAACCAGGAAAACAAAATGGCTGACAGACGTCTTGGATTTGACAGGTAAAGATCTTTAGAGGAGTTTTCAAATTTCATGTAATAAAGAGCAAATCGAAGGAAATATAGGGAAACAGTCCTAGATTTACAGACCAAATCAAGATCAAACAATAGCAGGTTCCAAGTTTCCTGTGGGATCTCTCGTTCATCTTCATCAAACAATGTTTGAATGTTTGTTGTTGTATTGTATAGCAACATTTTATCCATCACCAAAATGTGATTAGTCACTAAAAATGTGAAATTATCATGTCAGAATTAACAAAAGTATTTGCATTTACATAATTTACTCTGTAAGTCCTTGAAACCAAAAGCATTTGTAGGCTTAGACATTCCATGGATTCCACTTCATTGTAGGTCATGACCTGTCCAGTCAGTCTGGATTTGAAAAGATGATGGCGGAGTTTGGGACAGTAGTTGGTTTTCAGTACCTAAAGGCTATGCACCTTAATGATTCTAAAGGTATGTATTAGAAGCTCAAAGTTAAATTGGAAGATGTTTTCTTGAAATAGATATAATTGTTTTAAGGTTTAGAGTTGTCCTATTTGATATAGTACAATCTAATGTTAAACAATTAAAACTTTAAAGACATATTACCACATGTTTGTGAAACTGTATTATGTATATTTACTTCATTATGTTTTGACTTTGTCGTGAATGTAAATGACTGTTTTGTTTAATATATTTCTTACTGCATTGTGAAGTATTACCTGGATTGTAAACTTCTCCTTGTGATAAAGTAATTTCTCTCGATATTATACATTTATCATACAATTCTGATACTTCATTTGTCCCCTGCTTATTTCAGAGAAAGGGAAATATTCACTTGAGAAAATCTATCTGTCTTTCATTTCTGCTTTAGTTTCTGTGCAATAAATGTGACTGGATTTCACATTTATGCTAAATTAGTAAGGTACTTCATTTCTGATTGGCCAATTGGTTCCCATACATTAATTTTGCTAAATATCAGTGAATTTCTTAACATCCTTAAGCTAGACTTCAGCTCCTGATATTATACAATTCTGATATTGTAACTCACTCCTGATATTATACATTTCTGATATTGTAATTCACTTCTGATATTATACATTTCTGATATTGTCATTCACTCCTGATATTATACATTTCTGATATTGTAACTCACTCCTGATATTATACATTTCTGATATTGTAATTCACTCCTGATATTATACATTTCTGATATTGTAACTCACTTCTGATATTATACATTTCTGATATTGTAACTCACTTCTGATATTATACATTTCTGATATTGTAATTCACTCCTGATATTATACATTTCTGATATTGTCATTCACTCCTGATATTATACATTTCTGATATTGTCATTCACTCCTGATATTATACATTTCTGATATTGTCATTCACTCCTGATATTATACATTTCTGATACATTTCTGATATTGTCATTCACTCCTGATATTATACATTTCTGACATTGTCATTCACTCCTGATATTATACATTTCTGTTATTGTAATTTTTTCCTGTTATATATTTCTTAAACTGATGCTGTAATCAATTCACTCCTGATGTTACTCCTTTCTGCTGTTAAAATTCCCTACTGATATTATGAATTTCTCTTGTAAGGTACTGTGGGTTGTCACCTTGACCGCCATGAGAACATAGGACGTGGCCACATTGGGATTGAAGGCTTCAGACGTGTCATGTGTGATCCCAGATTCAACAATATGCCCATGATTCTAGAAACACCACCTGCCTCAGACGACATTTACACAAAAGAGATTAAACTGTTACATTCCATTTGTAAATCATAAAAGGGAACAATTTATTTCATAAAGGACGATTCTTTCATGTTCCACCCAACAGCCTTTGCAAAAACTACACCTTTGCCAAGCTATCAGCATTAAGTTGAATTAATCAATCAACTTTTAGATCACCTGACACAAAGTCTCAAAGTGACTCACATAATGAATTGTGATTGCCTTCTTTCCAGCATCTTAAACATTTAACATTTGCAACTTCTTCTGGAACACCCCAGAACAGATTTCAACAAAATTTTGCAAAAAACCTCCCATGGCCAAAGATGAACCAAAATTATTCAAATTATATGGACTTACTCACCTGGGACTTTAATTTCAAAAATCTTTTCATCATTACCTACATATCGAAGAATCAAATGCTTTTCTTGGAAGGAAGTGTCTTTAGGTGCTTTACCAAAACGTGAATTGTGAATTTCCTGACCCCAGGGTCTCATATTTTCCAGAGGGAGGGGGTAAGTTTTATTGTAATTGTATAGGAAGTTTTACATTTCTATGTCCCACCATGAAATAGCGTTGCCCATGTCTATCCTGCCCTGTCCTGGCCAGTCGTATCTTGTACAATCTGGATTCAATGTAAGCACCTAGTAACTTCATTCTTTGACAGATTTTGGTCAAACTATATATAAAGATAAATTATTATATAGTCAAGGCCAAAGTCACCTTTTAATTTAAACACTTATCAATTTCCTTCTTTCATGGAACCTGGTCAAACTTTCTGCACAGATCAAGTATGACTTTACTTCAGACATAGATTTTACAGAGGTCCAAGGTGAAGGCCATGGCAGCGGGGGCATTTTTGTCCGACATTTTCTAATATAGCTTAGTTTGTTTGTTTTTTCATTGCAAGTAATTTAAACTAGATTAGAATTAGTATAATATGAGAGTTTGATGTTATGTTATGTTGACCCTGGCTGTCCCCAAGGGATAGATGGACGATGTCAAATTGACTCAAAGTTTTAAAATCTTTTATACACCTAGATTTGATAGTTTCTAATACTCATTGTGAATGGAAAGGTCTTTGGGTGTTTTACCAAAATTATGAGTTTCATGACCCTAGGTTCTCGCAACATAACCCCCTTGGGAGGTTTGTGTATGTAATGATACAAGGACTGCAGTTATAGTGCAAGTATGGATGCTGTAACTAGTCCTAAAGGAGTTCTGGTATAAGGATACAGGAACGTGTCCTACAGGAATTGTACTGTACAGATAGAGTAACTGGTCTCATTGGAAATGTATGAAGATTTAGTTACTGGTCCTAATTGAGACGTAGTGTAAGGGTGGTGTAATTTGTCCTGATTTAATACGCGAACTGGTCCTACTTTAAAGTGCAAGGCTACAGTGACTGGTCCTGCAGTAGTTAAAGTGTAAGTAGGGATACAGTAACTGTTCTACAGGAGTTGTAGTGTAAGGATACAGTAACTGTTCTACAGGAGTTGTGGCAGAAGGGTACAATTATTGAGAGATGATTTAGTTTTACTAGCGTAAATAATTTAAATATACATGTAGGATCTGGCCCTACAAGACCTGTTTTATAGATAATGATACATATAGTAATTGTACCTACAGCAGTTAGTTTTGTTATTAAGGCACCAGTGTTGTATTTGTAGTATATGATTAATCACTCGAATGTGTTTGCTTTTGTGTGGTTGTTTTCTTTTTCTTTAAAAATAAATTCTAAACACTGGTTAATTGACTTGTGATTTTATTTTATACAGTAGAAATTAAAGGCATAAATAATAATAACCTATCCTCAGATTTTGATGGTTTTTTTTATTTCGTTTTCTTTCTAAAATCATTTCATTCACAGGAAATCTGAAAACTTACAGTATGATGACACTTTGTAAAACACTTTTGAGGATATCTTCATAAAATCTTTATGTATCCTTAATATTTGTATAACTTGTTCTACTCTATGATATCATTAAAATTATATATACAAAATGTATTTTGTATATAGAAAATATTACTGGGAAGAAAAAAAAGTCAAACATTTCTTTCAGTCATTCATACCTGACTTATGCTACAACCATTCTCACTGGTATTTTTTCTTGCATACAAAATGAATTAAGCCATGACAATGTACTTGTATATGATAATTAAGTGAAGAGATGCCATTCCTCTACAGCCCACTTTCCAAGAGATACATGTGAATATCACTGCCTGTGCTGAAGCTGCAAATGGTCAAGTCTTTCAAAGATAATGAATCGAGACTTGTGGGTGAAGATGCTGGTACAGATAAATTCTGTCAATTGACAGTACGATTACTGACAGGAAATTCCACGAATAGGAAGGTTGTGTCAAGATGATGCCACTTGAGAAAGGGGTTCTTCTAGGTATGTTGCTAGAGCTTCAACCTGCAACAACAAAGAATAACTTATGACTTGAATTTTGATTTGGCTACCTTGTACACTATATCACTATTTTTATGATATATCTAATCATTTCTCAACATCAAAATAGGTCGAAAACTTGACTTACGGTATTATGGGTGTAATGGAAAGAAATAAAGCATGAATATTTAAGATCCTTTACCTTTGAGGCATCTTTCCACAAAGTTTTACAAGTTTCTGTCCACAGGATTAAAAAATTAGGTAAATGTATTGCTATATCCTTATATCCTTGATTCTACTCACAAAAAACTATGGGTACACTATTTAGAGTGATATCACAGCATGTGGCACAGTTTGTACAGATAGCCTCAACTTTTTGTGATTTCCAAACTGATTTTTATTGAAGTCTACTGGCCCCAGATTACAAAAATTGCAGGTCTTCAGTGCTGATAGCAAACAATGAAAATCTACTAACTGTTGCTTCTGTTTGCACCCATCAATATCATATTTTGAGGCAGATGTGGACACTTCGTCATTTTATTCTAGGAAGTTCTCTACACACAAATTTATTTCGCTGCACTTATACTTATATCTACGCCTACTTATTTCCATACCAAGCTAATCGTGGCAAATTATATTTTTTTGTTCACTTTTTCCTTTATATGTCTGGAATGGCAAGTGAAAGAATTCAATAGTATTCAAAGTGCCCATAAATTTGTATGCCCATCGACTATGCCTTATTGCAAGGTAAACAAAAGATTGCAGAGATTGGAAACATCAGGATTTTGACCAGAAGTTCTTAATTACACCCCTAATACCTTCAAAGAGCTGACCAGTCATTCTGGTTAATTTGCCTACCAGAGACTGGTAGAAATTGAAATTGATTATTTTGGGAAATCTTACCTTTGCTTTTAACAACCCAAATTCAACAATTTCCTTTGAACACATGCACAGCAGTAAATTGGCCACTCTGGTTATGGCCACTTTGCCTTCCTATAAGAAAATGATGCTGAATATCAATAATTTGTGAGATTTTGTTCTCATCTACAATATATACATTAAAAAGTAAACAGTTACGGCAATTAGTTTTGATGATAATACAAACATACCGGTACTCCACATTTTTTGTCTATTCCACTTGTCCTTTTGGAATCATAAATGTCATTACACTAATTCTGTGACAATAAAACAAAATCAGACAAGTGCTATAACAGTGCAAGCAATCAACATCTTACCTCACATTCTAATAAAACAAACTCCAGTTTATCTTCATTGAAAGCATGAGCTCCACTTTTCTGGTAAGAAGTCCAGATGTTGCAAGCTATAGCAGCTGTGACAGATGCATCCTTGTCTCCATACCCAGAATAGGCTAACAAGGCCCCTTCATTGTTGAGTAAGCTAGAACACAGATAATACATTATAGTCTACTTGCAAGGACCTAGTTAACTACCAGAAAATGTATGCTTCTATTGTGTAAAGGGGAATAATTCTGACAAGTCTGTAATTAATAAAAACAAACAAAATTACACATTTTCCAAGTAATCTACTTAAATGTTTTTAGAGTGATGAGAAAACTTTCCTCCAAATACCATTTACGATGACATTAATATGTATTAAGCCAAAGAACAGACTGTTTGAAAACTTGTTACATACAAATGTATACCCTTTTAAACCCAGACAGTTATGTTTTAAACGTTCTGTTAAAAATATATATATCTATATATATTTTTTGCAAATTTGTATGGTTTTATTTGAAAACTCAACCTCATATGTGTTTACTGTATACTATGTGACTTGTAGTGAATACATACACAGGCTTCACTTCCTTAAAATTAAGTTTTGACATGTATAATAATGATATGTAATAGGAAGGAGTAATGAAAACACCTTGTCACCGCTGGGACTGGAACTAGTGACCTTTTGGTTTCTAGTCCGACACTACTGCTTGACTAAAGGGAAATTTCCACTAGTCGAGGCTAGTAAGGCGACCTGTACTCTCAGCTTCTACAGATATATATGTTACTATGCCTTTTCAATTATAAGACAAGTCTTGTTCACATATGGTATCCAAACATACATCAACCAACCAAAATATACACTAATCAGAATGACAAGTAACAAAATATTTATCTTTTTCTGTCCTCAAAGTGTAGATTACTAGATTTCTATTTAAATCATTTTTAAAAAACTGGTCATCAACTGGTATATGTCACTGTCCAAATCCTTGTTATAACTAAGGGGGTAATCCATCTCTTCTTTTAAACCTGGATTCCTCCTTGGGACTTATTTATATCGGACGTTTGACAATCGTCAGAGGGATTGGGGAACTGGGAAGATATTAGCTATTCGATTAATTTAATTTGGTTACAGGAACCAGACTTTTTATTAGAGTAAGATGTTTATACAGACTGACTAAATATGCAGTCATTGAAACTGCATCATATTCAAACTCGCTAACAATTTAAGTCGTTTACCTATCATCACTATGTCATTATCATCATGTCACATGTCATAGCCCCCATGTTCGCGGCCTATGCAATACCCCTTCAACCACCCTGAGAAATGTAGAATCATTGTTGGAATGTTCGGAGGTATTTACAGAGTGCTTTGTACTCCTCCTGAATTGGCCTGACTCAGGACTTGTGTGAGAGCTTTAGGTTTGAGCATTTTCCACGGTTTAGTTGTTTTCTCCTCTTCCTTTTCAAAGTTCTTCTGCTACACTTCCGGGTCATATGACAGCAGCGGCCAAACTTATGTCGACGTCGTCAATTGGTTCAAATGTAAGGTCATGACCCTTATCTTCATTTCCGCAGAAGCATGGCTGAGAAACGAAAACACTTACCCGAAGATGTTGTGGAATACTACCTTTTCCCGACGTTACCGGAAACATTGAATAAGTCAGAAGTTGAAAAATATTTGGAGGAACTGTTGGATTCGTACCTGGCCTTTGTTAGTCCTTTGGTGGTTGATTACATTTGGCAAAACGACCCGTTCTCTCTGATAGTGACAGCAGAAGGTTTGTGACTCATAAACTAGTTTTGGCTTCTGTCATTGAACCCATCATAGAAAAGGGTTCCCCTTTGTCTGCTCGGCATTTTGTATTTGTCCCAATGAGAATTCCGAACCATATAAATTGGCGAATGCATTTATTGTTTCTGATAATTATTTTATTGATCGCAAACACGCGATCTATGTAAACGTTATACATACGTACGAACGTTTTCACCCGTTCGAAGTTGCAAAATTATACTAATTGTACAATAGTTAAATCTTTAGAATATGCGTGAATTAGTTTGTCCTAAGATCAGTCTGCCTGTTCGTTCACCGACTAAAACAGTATCAACTAGCCACGATAACATGGATCAGAATTGTCATGTATTTGGTAATTGATTGTTTAAAAAATATTGTTTTGACACAGACTTGTACAACATGCCCGTTATTTTAATAGTTCTTTAATTGATCAAAGTTTATTTTTCTTGTTGTCTACTTCATTATGTGACATACAATACAAAGGACAAGAAATCTGCTAAAAGAAAAAAAAATATTTTCCCAAGGTTTACCAAACACTTGAAGTACCACTGTGTGCACACTTTATTCATATCAATCACTATTAAATATTCAATCATCATAAAATAATCTGGTTGAATGATTTATAATCTAACATTATTTTGCTGACTGCAACTGACTATAAGTTTCTCATGTAAATCAGTGTTAAAGTAATGTAACACAGAGCTCTGTAGCAGGAAAGTAAATTATGACAAGTATCTGTGTAAAGGATAGGTCATTGTGACTTGTACATGTAGGTAGTGTCATTCAGTCTGGATTTTCATGTCAGAGACCCAGGTGAAATTTCTGTCAGGTGCTTGGCTGGAATTTTCTCTCCCCATTCTGTAATGTAAACCTATATTTGCTAATTTTGTTGAAATTAAAATTTTGGCAAGTCTGATGGCTATTATTTTTCTGAAACTTCTTCATTAAGCTGCATGTAATGGTGATCATTTTTTTTTCTTTCAATGCTTTCGCTAGGATTCAAAATTGAGACCTCTGGCTTCCGAGTCCAATTTTCAACCAATTTATGCTAAAGAGAACTTTTCTTTAGCCAAGCAATATATCATGACTAGTATTTCATTATGCTAAGTATCTTTCCAGAGTTCTTACATGGGTGCCAATTTAACAGGTCATAGTTTATTTCAATGCCTCTGCTGGGACTTGGCCTTGAGACCTCTGGCTTACTAGTATGACAGTCTACCTGTCGAGCCAAAGAGAAGTTGTCTTTAGTAGAGGGATATTTCATGACAATTATTTTTCCAAGGTTACAGACATTTCATGAATTTAAACCACCAAGCCAATGATCCTGTGCTGGCTAATGGAGCAACATCAGTAATTATTACAAAAAAATATAATTGATATTGCATATGGTAATGTCAGCCAGTGAGGGATCCAGGGATGGGGTGAGACTTTCTGCAAGAAATTTTCTTTTGCTTAAAGCATTTATAGGTATTCCAAGACAAAAAGTCTCATGGTGACCAATTGGGATTGCCTTTTGTTCAGTGTCCTGTGGTGTACATTGTTTATTTAAATTTTCAATGTTTCCAACTTCTTCTGGAGAACCCCTGAACCAATTTCAATGAAATTTTGCATGACCTTTCCATAGCCAAATTGTCAATTATGTTGTCCCCATCAGGCCAGAGGGATGGGGCCAAAAGGGGTAAATTTGACCCAACTTTAAAAAATCTTCTCAACACTCAGATATAGTAGAATCAAATGCTCTTCATGTATGGATTGAATAATGGCATTAAAGTGATTTACATTGTAAATTTCATGATCTCACATTTTCTCCTGGGGCAGGGTGAAGTTTACTGTAGTTGGTATAGGAAAATAACATTTTTCAGTATGATTTGTATATTTTCCTTTGGAAATAATTAAGACTAGTTTAGAATTATTATTATAGGATTAGAGTTTGAGCACATATTGATCTTGGCTGACCTGGTGCTGATGAGTGAGGCTGAAAGGGTCAAATTGAATCAAATTTCCAACTTTTTTTTTTATTAGCGCACAAATATAATAACAGGTAGGAACAAATGCTCTTCAAATGGTTAAACATTGCTATAGATTATATAACTTAATTTTTAGCATGATTTCTATTAATTCAAACACTTATTTTCTTTAACTATTGATGTTATGCACAGTCTATTTTGGTTAAACATTGCTATAGATTATATAACTTAATTTTTAGCATGATTTCTATTAATTCAAACACTTATTTTCTTTAACTATTGATGTTATGCACAGTCTATTTTGGCATTATGTGTACCATGCAGTTCAATTAAGTTTACTTACTTTGTCAACAAGATTATTTCTCTGACATGTTACAAATCCAACAACATTTGTCATCATGTTGTAATTTCAGCTTTCAAGGGAAAATGTTTTTGCTGTCCATTGATGACTGTATATTTAACATTTTCACATGTATAGAAAATTCTAGTTTGTTTTCATAAACCAAAAGTGGCAACCTTAAGATAATGCATGTTGTGATATGAAGCACAATTTTCAAAATTTCCTCAAAACTGCAGCTACACAGTGGCGATTCATTCAAGCATCATTGAATTAAACAGAAACAATCATTAAAATATGTTATAATTTCGTTGTATTTTCTGCCATTATGGGTTGAAATGTTTTTATCCTTAGCAGCATTCAGATTGAATGTTTTGGCACTTGTTTTCTTCATCAGTTTAATTTTATCTAGAGAAAGTTTCAGAAGAATTATTGTTCATTATTTTTATATTTTTTTAATTTCCAATTTTAAGAAATAATACATGTTTATTAGTGCACTGAGTTTAAAACTGAACTGGTAAAAAATTGCAAGAAGAAATGTTGTAGTTATGCTGTAAGGAAAGTGTGGAATTGGGCTCTGTCAGAATGGTTGGTTTATCAGGTGGAAAACATGATAAGAGGTTTGAATTAATCAGGAGATGAGCACTGTTATAGCCAAGTAATTGTGTTTACATCCTGTTCAGTCGATAATGTAGCCATGTAAACTCAAATTTACTATTACTGACTGTCTGAATATAAATCAGCTGGTCAGTTGACCAAGGGAATAAAGGTAATTACGCAGTTGTAGAAATTAATTCAGAGAAATAAATCCTGACCACAGAGATAGGTCAGGGTAATCTGTTACAGAAAAAAATCAATTATGTTATTAACAAATTACAGACGCTTGGCAATGTTATAGATTATCAGGGATGCACATAGATGAAATATTCATTGGAGCTACACTGTGTAACAGAGAGAGAATCTATGTGCTGTAGCAAAAAATTTCTTCACTTCAGCTCTTTTATTTCTCTAGAAAACACCTTTGCTAATGCTACAGTGCTATTACAGATTGTAGGAGTAATTTTGACTCTTTATTTAGAGTTTCTGCTGATCTCTTTGCTGGTAACATCCAGATTGCAAGTCTTAAAGAATTTGTCCTCTCTTGCTGATACCATTTTTTTTTTTTTATTAAAGATGGTATTAAAGGTAAGAACCAGTGCATTGCCATAAAACTGCATTGCAATATGACATTTTTTTTTATGGTGGTAACCCTTTATATACAAGAAGTACATTATGTGGTGGGTCCTATTGATAGATTTTCTGATACATGTCATGGACATAAAATTCTAACATCTTAAAATTAATTAACACCTGGGTTCTGTATGTGACATGTATGTAACAGAAAGCTAACATGGAAAGGTAGTTCAAGGTAAACTTTACATTATTAATAGTAATAGATCAAAAATATGCAATGACAAACTAAGTATCCTTTTGGGATGTCAGATGTCCTCCAAGGGATGTGGTTGCATAACTGGAAATTTTAAAAGCACTGTTGCAAACATTTTATGTGGTTCATTTTCTGATCATTTCTAGTTTCATTCTGTTCTAGGCAGGGTCAATGAAACTGTCTCGAGGTAACTTTATTGTACCCCCATCCTGTCCCGTCCCACTCCTAGTTAGAGAGGGGTTATAGTAATTACCTTGTCTTTCCTTTCATCCATGCATCTTTAATAACTTTGTGTACAAGATATTTCATGAACCCATGGACAGGTTTAGTTTATATTCATATCATTGCATCACCCCACCAAAGTCTACACATGATTAGAATTTGGTGGTCATTGGTCAAGTTTATAAGTTCAAAGGTCACCCTTAATCACGTTTGAAATAAAAAGCTTGTATACATGACACCTCATGAACCACAGGACAGATTTCATTCATATTCACAATTTGGCATTACTTTACCTATGTATACTTCTCCTGATCAGATATTTGTGGTCTTCACTCAAGGTTAAAGGTCAAAAGTTACTGTTGTCCACTTTTGAAACAAAAGGCTTATACAAGATGGTTTATGAACCCCTTAATAGAATTAGATAGATTTAGAGGAAAAAAATGAGAGGATAGGGAGTACCAGGTATATTATGTAACATACTGTGGTGTGGGAATAAAGTGGCGATTTTCACTACCCAGTCCCATCACTCTATCGCATTGATCAAAATTTGGGTAATTTCGCGACTTCAAAGACTATGCTAGGTAGGTCATAAGTAAACTTGCCATATTTGTTAAATTGGTAAGGCTGACCGCCTGGCCACATAATCAACACCTAGCTAGGTGAGTACACTGCCCTGTGATCTAATTAGTGTCACCCAATTCATGTTAATCCGTGCTGACCGCTATGCTTGGGAGCACACCTTTACACAACCGGCCAATTTTTCCCAACCTAATTAATGGTAGACCATTGGTCAGAACTCATGAGCTGGCCCAGGTAAATGGTAGGTTAAGATGAGGTCATTATACAGATAATTAAGCAGTAATTACCATGTTGTACTTCCTATTCAGTCAAATGACAAATTCAACAAGGAAATGGTTTGAAAAAGGATATTTATGATGTAACAATGTGCAAGTGTTCCTCAATCAATACCATTAATTCAACCATATTAGTCCTTAAAAAACTGCTAAGTTGGCATCATGATTTATTAAATCAGA